GTTCCTTTATGGTACCTCCGTAAATTCTTCTTCAGCGGCCCTACTCTCTGGGTTGCTCGCTCAATAATGGCCCTGGTGCGGTTTCTCCCAACGACGTTTTCCTTCTGCCTTGCCACTTTCGCACGGCGGGTCCACACTTTTTTCTGAGTGGCGTTCCTCAGAATTTCTCTCTTGAGTCGTGCCACTGTTGCGCGACGGGACATCCTTGTGGCGTTTCTCTTCTGGTTTTGCCGTGCCACTGTGCATCTGCGGGCGACGGCCAGCCTTCTTCGGCACCCATCCTTTTCCTGGGTCCATTTCTTAATTTTTCGCTGGTTTCGGTCCCTACGCCTTTCCTTCTTCGGTTCTCCGACAGGCATTACTTCGTCGTCTTTTACGTGGACTTCTCTTTGTTGGGCCACCTCAGGTTTCCTGTCCACTGAGGTTGGCTCTTCTTTTTCTAGACGTGCCTCCAACTCTCGGCAGGCCATCGTCTTCACATCTCTTTCTGGTTTGGTTTCGGCAACCATCTCTTTGTGGCTGGTGCCCATATTTTCTCGCATGGCTTTCGTCCTTGCTTTGATTGCTTCCGTTTCTGCGGCAATCTTTCCTCGCCAGGCGGCCATCTCTTCTTGCCAGGCTTTTATATCGGCCTCCATTGCTGGGCAACGCCGGATAGAAACCAGCGCGCTTCGGCTCGGCACGGACAAACACCGCTTTCCTTACTGTTGCGTGACCTCATTTCCACTGTTGCATAACTTGGCAACCGACCGTTTATCAAGGGTCTGTCTTCGTAGCAACTCGTTCCACCTCCCGTTGCCCAGCAACGGTTAGACATGTCACAATATTAAGGATATATCGAGTGACACTAAAAGTTTTGAGGCACAATTAAAACAATTTTTACATTTACATTCTTTTTACTCATTACAGGAATATTTCTGTTATAAATCTTTTTAAGGCAAGTAGCTGTCTTGCTTTACGTTTTTATTTATATAGATATTGTATACGTTTATCACTATTGTATTACAAATGTGTATGCTACTGGATGACAACAGTAATTCTTAGTTGTGACTGTAACTAGAACGATCTCCACATTCACATGAGAAGGTACTCTCGACAGGATTTATGGAAGGTGAATAAATGAAATGAAATGAATGAAATAAAGACTCTAAAACTGTGGTTAGGAGATAAGTCATAGCAAATAATAGCACTGCAAGCTAGAATGAACAGAGAACTGTAATATCAATACCAATAAACATCTCTAACAGAAATTGCTAATATATTACATAGTGTTTTTGATACTTCAAATTTCAGGCCGTATATGTTTCTTTGTTAGTAACGGATCCAAGCTCATATAAATAACTATAAAGAGATCATTACCTGTGTTATGTACGATATTTTCTCCTGCACGATTTACAGTGACTGTATATCTTCAAAATGGTATATGGTAAGTCTATGTAAGTTTAAAATTACAGAAATCATCTACATTTTTCTTCAACCTAAATTTTGCAGAGCTCTGAGTTGGCACTGTAGGCATCAATGCTGACAGTTATAGGGTTAAGTGCCATTTCATGGCTTAATCAGTATGAGATGAAAAAAAAACACTTGATGTGGACTCACATACCAAAAGCAAAACAAATCAATCACCTAGTCGGCCACAGTATCTAGCCAAAACTTGTCTTTTGTGACAATATGAAGCTACTGTTACCTCACTTACATAATGCATTAGCCTATGTACATTAAAAATATTCTTATCTTGAAAGTACTGGAAGAAAATATAAAGCAACCTGCAACTGTAATGTACTCTTGCAGACATAATCTTCAGTCACTTAATAAGGTGCATACAAATTTAGATCCAGGTTTTACTGGTTCTGCCCACTGAAACCCACAGTCTTCCATTACAGACTTTTCAGTATTGATTAGTTCCAAAGTTTTCAGGGTCTTTATCAGTGTAACGACATGCAATGCCAACTTCGAATGAGCTGTACAATCACTTAAAAAATTATATATCTTTCCTTTAAATGAAGCCTATCATTTTTATTAACATCATCAGCTGTAAACATCACAAAGCAATTTAGCATAGAGGTGTATATTACTAGACATCTAGTGGCCAATGAAAGCACTAAAAAACCTGCATGGTAAGACCAAGCCACATCCCAAACACACTCAAGGTAAAGTATGGACAAAGATTTCATTCATGAAATAACTGCACAGCCAAATAACTGACTGGGGTGTCTGCTACTATCCATGATTTTCATGGTATTTTGCACTCTAGTAATTTAACCTATCACGCATCACTAACCTAAATGCAAATCTGCTTGTGTCAAGAATTACCATAGGAAAGAAAGAACAGTTGCAGCTTTGGACGTATGGAATGTCAGGGTAAATATACAGCATTATTAATTTGCTTTTTCAGACCTGGGTCAATCAACTATGGTATTTTGAAGACTACAGTATAACTTTCTACTACTATTTTGTAGAGCATTATTATCAGTTTTACAAATGTAACTTTTCAAGGCTTAATTTGTGCAGAAAACAAAGTGTCTCTGCATATAGCTTAAAGTAGTAACTGTATTCATTCACATTATATAACTCCAAAGACAAAGAAGCACTAAACATTTGACACAACTTCAGATGGGAATAATATCAACAAGTATAAAGTGTGTTACACCCACAAACAGAGCAAATTTGATTATTCATAGAACGAGATACAGAAAAGTGTGCTAATTAATATACATGTGGAAAGTGCAGCTAGTTGTTTGTCAAAGCATTTATGCCTATGTCTTGAAATAGCCTCATCCCTTTCAGTCATCAGACAAAAATTCATACACATTTCTCAGCTCCCCAAGACTGCAACATGCCTAAACCATCTCATCCTCCTTGATCCTATCACCGACACAATATGGCGGGCATACAAATTATGAAGCTCCTCATCATGCAACTTTTCTACATCCTCCTGCCACTGCTCCTTCTTAGGTCTAAATACTCTCCTCAGCAACGAATTCTCAAAGGCCATCTATTTATTATTATCCTTTGCATCTGTTGTAACACTGGAGACCTGACACTGTCTACACACCAACATGTTTAATTTTAAATGTTAATAAAGTTCATTAAAATCAATGAAAATATCAACAGCTTAATCAGTTTTGTTGTCTCATTCAACTGCAATGTTTTAGTTAAATGGACCAACATCAGGTCGGTTGTATATAAATAACTAAAACATTATTACTGAATTGCAGAGTTAAATGGATCCATTTTTACAATGAAAAATGTCACAATGAAGTCTTTTGTTATATTATAACATAAAATATAAATTATAGCGAGTTTCCTGAAATGTTAAAGAGTATTGAAATAGGCAGCATGAAGTATAATGTGAGGCCTGTTTTTGTGTGCCATAAGAAAGGTATGTACAATTAAGTGACAAGAGTAATGCAGTATTTATTTGCAGTTGTGTGCAAATATTTTATTATAAGGATGTTATAATAATGTAAATTGTGGCTAATTATGTACTTATGTGGCGGTATACAAGGCATATTACACTGCTGGTGAAAAATTTTGTATATTATGAATGTAACTAGCATGAATGTATGTAGTCGTTGGTATCATGTTTGGTGGAAGTACTGTAATTAAATATGTCAGCTGAATAGCTTACTGACATTTAATTGTATAGTTCTTACTGTATTATGATGTAGTGTGTTGTTAAGTATCTAAATAACTGCATGCTATTTAGTTACACGAATTCTGGATGTGTGGTGAGCTGTAAGTCATGTCGTAGTTGTTATTTGGCATGGAGGCTTGTCATAGGTGCAGAATACTAAGTAATGGAATTCTCAGTTACATATCCACTAATAATATAAAATATTAAACTATCACTAAATACTGACCGCCTGTGTGGTCTAGTGGTCAGAGTTCCTGGCTACAGATCCGGAGGTCCGGGTTCGATTCCCAGCACTACCATATTTTCTGAGAAGTAGTGGGCCTGCAACGGGGTCCACTCAGCCTCATGAGGATAACTGAGGAGCTGTTTCAAGGAAATAGCAGCTCTGGTCTAGAAAACCGAAATTAACAGCCATGGGGATTCATTGCGCTGACCACGCAACACCCTCTATCCACTACAGTTGGCCCTAACTTCGCCAACAAGTGACAGTCGCTAGATCAGTACAGTTCGCTTGCAGACTAAAACCACGGAGTTTTTTTTTTTTTCAATAAATACTGCATTACTCTCGTCACTAAACTGTACACACTTATCCTATGGCATACATAACAAGCCCCACATTATACTTCATCCATCAAGAAAACCACTATAAATTATATTTTATCACTTAATACAAGAACTTGTTAACGATAGTTTTCATTGTAAAAATGGATCCATTTAACTTTGCAATTTAATATAATGTAATTTATTTATTTACAAACGATCTAATGACAGCCCCTGCAACCAAAACATGTAATGCTTAAATGAGACAATAAAACTGGTTAAACCACTGACATTTTATTGATTTTAATTTATTTATTAGAATTTAAAATTTAACCTACTTCATTGTTGTGTAGCCAGCCCCTGTCCCTCAACTACCTATTTATGTTCTCTTAATTAGAGACCAAGCTTCATATCAGTACAAAGCAACAGATAAAATTACAGTTCTGCATATTTTCATCTTACATTCTTAGACAGTAAACAGGAAGACAAAAGATTCTGAGCTGAATGATGTCTAGCATTCCGGAATTTAATATTCTCTTAGTTTCTCCCTTTACACAATTTTTATTTGTCAATGTCATTCCCATATATTTGAATTTTTCAACATTTTCAAGGATTTACTATAATATTCTTTCTATAATCTGTCATAAATGACACAAACATAAAGAACTGTACGAACACTGAAAAATAAGATACTGTTCCAACAGTCCTTAATTTTGTAATGAAAGAAACGTTTGTTAGGATAAACCTTTGTCTTGTTCCTCTTAGTGGGGCAGTAACGTTTCTGACGATATGACATGCGCATTCATTTCATGTAATACATTACCAAGTGTGGGCTGAAAACCAGATGTGTTCAGCTTAGCTCAGGAACTAGCTGGTTGGATTTGTAATCTCAACATCAATGGTTCGAATTTCAGCTATGGCAGAAAATACAAAATACATCCTTTCAACATAACCGATTTTGTTCAAATATACAGGAAGTTGCGAATGAATATAAACTTAGACTAACTATATGAAATGAGTTGGAAACTGCTTGCGTGGTTACGGCACAATTACGAATGAGCATGAACTTAATTTACACTAAATTGGAAGGGGTTTTGACTGAAAACTGTTTGCGTGGTTAGAGTACAAGCATTAGACGTATACGAACACAGTTTTGCCCTTTCGTTGGTCAGTCCTACTTGACATTAATTTGTAGGCTTCACAGCCTTCGACTGACACCCTAACTTTGGACTAACTAAAACAGGTTACGTACTGCTGAGTACTACATCCCAAACGCTCTATAAGACTGGCAAGAAAAGCTGCTACGATGGCTGTAATATTAAACTGAAAACACTTCTCAAAGCCATAAAACTACCTATCCCACATAAGCAACAGCTGGGTGAACCACAAATAAAGTAACTCTAAACCAAACACATAATACAAAAATAAACTGGTCATCTGATTCAGACAAAAACCAAGTCGTCCCTTTACGAACCACATAATTCTAAAACTTACTTTCAATGCTTCAGTCTCCGCCATCTTCCGAGACCGTTTTTTAGATGGTTCTGCCGTTGTAACCTGTAAATACTTCTCCTACTATATCACCCACAAACCCCAAACACTATAGTAATATTCTGACAAATCCTAAGATAAATTTATAATTTATTTTAATGTGACAGAAAATCTTTTCCTCAGTCCACAACATGCACAATACATGCATCACAAGTCCACATACATCGTAGATACTAGGTTACTATATCGTACAAAATGCAAAGATAATCATAGAACTCACAAAAAATATATCAGCACCACCTATGATAAATTCTAGTAACCACCACTGTTAAGTGTGACTTCAGCTCACTCAAGTAGATGGACAACTCAATGCAAGTTGAGGGTAACAAAGGTTGGGACAGATTGTAATTAGTGACGCCATCTAACCGCGGAAGTACAGGAACAAAATCTACTTCAACCAAGTTCACGGAAGGAGTGCTATTAATTCAGGAGGAGAAAGCCAAATGATGGTCTACAGCGGTCTTCAGGAAGTTCAGGAAGGGCGGGAAAGTGAAGCAAGGAGACAGAATAAACTACGGCCAGGAAAGATTAATTACTACAATCACAGAAGTCACTATTATCGAATTATTATATTTCCTCCAATTTAATGGAGGAAAACACTTAAATTAGACTTTTACTTTACTTGTATTCTTCTATATGTTTTTAATAATGAAGCCTTTTTTCACTTTAATTACATGATCATCTGTGTACATGCATATAAATCCAAAACAGAAGCAGCGTTCATATATGCATTATAGCTAGCTAGCAGCTTTGGCAGTGTCCATGGGCCTTCAAGGTTTTTGGGTAAATAAATAACTTTGAAATCATTGCTGTTTAGAATACTGTACATGGTGAAAGAAAACCACTTACGGTTTCTTTGAGGGTCAGTGGATTTGATCACTAGACTGCGGATAATCTTAAATTAAGGAAAATTGACACTGAGATTATTGACTTGGGATCATTGAAATTGAAAACTAAATGAAGGACAACATTTGTGTCCCACTGTAGTTCGAAGACCGCAATTTGTGAATCTGACTTGTACAATTAATAATAGGTCAGTCATATGACAAGAATTAAGATAATGTGTAAAGAAGAAAATGTAAGAATGTTAAAAAGGAGACTCAATGAAATAATTGTTTACTGAACAGCTACAGTGACATTGTAAACAATTACTCTATAATTCAGGGGCTCATAGCTTGAGTGTTCAAAGGGCTGTGTATTGTGTACCAAGTTCTGTGTGCGCATGCATGCAAGCCTTAAATTTTGAGAAATATCTGCCTCCCATTAACATCTCTATTACAATACTATGGCCTGCAGTTTCAAAATTAGTTACAGAGTGGTAATAAGTAAACATTTAAAATGTTCAGATATCCAGCTCAATGTGAGTTCTTGCGAACAGAGATACCTGAAGAAGCAGGCATTTATTTATTCATTATCTTCTCAAGAACTCTGCTTTATGGGGTCAGATTTATGTGACATATATTAAAGAAATACCGGTACACTATAAGTTCAAAAACACTTTCAAAACTTACCTACTTGATCATTGTTTTTATAAAGTCGATGAGTTTCCCTCGTGTGAGAAAATCATTAATCAATTATAATCATATAATTCATGTTTAATCGGTTTTGGAAATGCCTACTGCGCAGTTTTCCATACTTTCTACCAGCAACCAAGATAACACAGTCGGAGACGTACCTGAATGGGCTACTCTGGAGAGATTGCAGATACCAAGAAGCTGCACCGGGAAGGGAGAACAGATGTAATGAGATGTTGCAGTGTAGAGTCTACAGTAAAACGTTATACCAGTGCTACCACCAAATTCACCAATATTATCTCAAAGGCCACACCATAGCTTAAACAGTTAGTCGCTGGCTTCCCACCGCTGCGGTCTAGTCAAGTGGGATTTGTGATGGACAAAGTGGCGCTGGGGCAGGTTTTCCCCGAGTACTTCGGTTTCCCCTGCCAATCCTCATTCCATCAAATTCTCCATAAGCATTATCACCGGTACAGGTACAATAGGACATATGGAAGACGATGTGCCGAGAGGACCTAATATGGATTCCACCTCATACTATACGAACTCTTAACTATTGTCATCTATTGTAAACAATTTTAAGTATTGTAACTTTATTCTCTTATTGTAATCAGCCAATGTACAGTAACTGACTTGTCCTATATCATGTAACAATGATCTATAGAGACAAAATAAATAAATACTGCTGAAGCTACTGCATGATAAACACCTATTTTTGGTGTGCCTATATCTTCAGTTATCCAATAACACCTCCAGTTTTTATAAGTTCAATTAATCTGCTACTGAATGTCAATCATTATTTTCTTTACAGATAGTTACAACTTTTGGGTGAATACAGTCACTCTGACGATGACTGATGAATAATGAGCCGGAAAGGACTGGAAAGGAATGAGCCATGGCCTAATCAAGGTACTATTATAGCACTGGCTTGGAGGGACTGAGGACACTACAGCTTGAAACCTTAAGAATAAATATGTAGTTTAATTTTTAAATACAGCTTTATTGCAAATATCATCTCTGTAGATGTTTAACTTGGAAGATTCAAAATGTAGAAGAGTCTTACATGTTTCTGTTACATAAAATTTTAATGCAATTCCTTTAAATGTGGCATAAGAGTGATTTCCAGATATGTAGCCAGTTAACTAGTATATTACATTTCTCATAACTGCCAGTAACAATTGTCTTGGCATAGCAGATTTCAATAATACGTCATACTATAAGTAGATTACAGTGCTGAACAAGAAATATAGATATGAACAGTTAATTTGGTTCCTGTTTCCAAAAAAGTACTGAGACTGATTAAATCACACCAAGGTAAGGTAAGGTAAGGTAAAGTCCCTGTGCTTAACTAATTTAGCACTATGCCATGAAGGCGTATGGGTAATGGATGTATAGATCCACATTTTCTTGACCTTGGCACTAGTTGGAGGTGAGTGGTCAGCTTCACACCCCTGCCACTTTACCCCCAAGGAAAAGCCCCCGGTAACCATTGGATAGGAGGTTCAGTCGACCCCAGAGCCGGTCTGGATGATGTGGAGAAAAGAAAATTCTTGACCCTATCGGGACTCAGACCTCTCGATCGTCCAGCCCATAGCCAGTCGCTATACCAACTATGGTAGCCTGGCTCCTAAATCACACCAAGTCATGAATTAATTGTTGAAACCACAAGAGTGAAAACATTATGCTGTTGGTTATAAACTGGCAATAACATGATGTTAACTGCAGCCAAAATAACCCTAAGTGAGGTTGACAAGTAGCCTCGCCACCTTTGTCACTAGATCTCAGCACTTAGGAACATTTGATTGCGTATGTTTACAGGGTTCCATAATAAGGACAAAGAATATGATAATTTATTTTCATGCAATTGTTGGTATGGGTAACTATGCTGTCATATGGTGATAAAATGCATTTATTTGTGGGGGACTCTCTGGCACAACTTCCAACATTTATTGACCACTATCATAATGGCACATGTTAGGGGTCAAATCAGCTGAGTGTTACATTTTTTTATATACTAATACCATTACTCCTGAGTTAAAATGTGGCTACCAGCCCTACTGTAGCAGGGGTTTTAAAATTTTCTGTTCTCAGACAATGAAGGTTAAATGTTTGCATTAAAAAACTTTGCTGTGAATAAGTATTTATCATTTTGTTCATCACTTGCATATTCAGACACTCTTGTTAATAGTTCTATAGCTGGAAGCCAAACATATGCCTTGTTACTCCATATTTGCTTTTATCTTTCAGTGACACTGGATCTTCTTAGTTTTCTGGTCATGTTGAACATTCTGTCATAAAATAACACTTCTGCTCGTGTAGTATTCTGAAGTTGAAGTAATGCATATGCAAATTTTTTTGTTGAAATGCACTATGAACCTTTTGTATTGAGTATATTTTTATTCAAACCGATTTCACAAATTTGTCAGTTTTCCTTGTGTAAGCTCTTACACTATAAGGGAGATAAGACTGTTACGATTTACAGAATGACAATTCATTATTTTAAAAAGGGACCAGATCAGGTTAGTTTTATACATTCTCATATGATTAGTTTAAAAAAAATGTACCAGAAAGAATCCACTATTTGTTTTCAAAGGGCTGTATTTACGAATGATCTCTCCTGTTATTTTATATCATGTTCCATACTCTAAGCACAGTGCATTAAAGATATCTAATCCTTGACAAAGGAAAAAATCTTCCTTTATTTTATTATTAATACCTCATTACATTTCTGATTTCTTTGTGGATAATAAAATGAAATATTTCACATTCACTATACAAATAGTAATTGGTTTTCTATCATACAACTAGCATCAAACAGAGAGGTTATCTATGAAATTTATACAACAGAACACATAGACTTTGGCTTCATGATACCACTGAAATTTTATTTCCATAGCATTATCATAGTCTATGGTAGGTAAAGAGGTAATACAAAATATAATGCATGAGACATCAAGCATGTAATTATCTAATTATGACATACTAAGACAAAAGACATGGTCTAGATTTGGATATTTGTTTTCTAACATTGTAGCATCAGTTAAGAGGCATGAATTCTATAGACATCAGAAACTGCAAAATGTTGAAACAACCAAGATCACACATGCAAACTGTGGCATGGTGCATCAACTTCCAGGCAGACTGCATTATGCACATATGAATAAATACATCAAGCAAGACTTCTGTGACACACTGATATTGCATAATTAAATACAGAATATCAAAATGGAATAACGATACAAGTTATTTCTCATAGACTCATGGAATTATAAATTATCAAACCAATGAAAACTGAATTATTGTATTGTTTATTATCATTAATGATTAATGAGCTTATTTAATGTTATTAATGTTACCATTATTTTACTACTATTATTATTTTCATCATCACCACAACAAAATTCATTATTATTTTTGCTATTTTCTTATTCATCATTTGCTATGGCAGTGTTACTTGGGCTGGGCGACAGTCCCTTGATTGAGAAAAAATTGCGGCATATTTATTACATCACTAATCTTGTAGAGAAATCCAATGAAGATGTTAGAATTTCACTGATGTTGCCCAACCATATGTTACACAAAAATTTTGATTATTGCTCCATGTCTTTTATGAATGTAAGTTATGATGTGTACAATGGAAAATGGAGTTAAGTGCCGAAAATTTGATGTACACCTACAAACAATAAATTTCAATTTATCCACAGATTCTGAAAAGGCAAAAGTAATTAACACATTCACCGTCAAAGACAGCAGTTGCTGCTCAAGTGAACACGCTTCTTCAAGTGCTACTGACAGTATGCAATAACACCGATTGTCATAGATGTATATAATCTCTACTGAGATACATATCATTCAGCTGTCAGAATACCTTTAAAATATCTATAACTTTTCAATACACATTGATAGACATATTTGCTTTAGCAATAAAAAATCTTGTTTAAATTTGTTAACTGTGGCTGTTTGGCCCAGAGGTACAGTGTGGCATATAAATATAGTACCCGACAGTGAATGTGTTATGCAGATTTAAATCCCACAAAATTACAGAATAAAATGCTAGAACTGAGAAATGAGTAATCTGCAGAATATGAAGAAATAATTTCAGGAGAACTGGTCCACCCAAATATACTACTTTCTGGTGTTTAGTAAATTAATTTATGTTTACTCATGTATTTTTACTTGTATGTTACCGTCTTTGAGAACGCAAATAATTTAAGTCAAGAGGTGTGTTATTCATAATTACCATATGGTCATATCTGTTAATTCTACACTGCCCTCCCTACTACTTTGCAACACTGAAAAATGTACGTTCAGGACTGACATAAAATTAATATGTACAGAAGGAGAGAAAAAATAAAAAAATAATAATAATAATACACAGTATGCTATAAGGTTTTCAGGCCTCATTAATTTGATGTGTTTACCTCATCCTGCACCATGTTTTATTCTGACGCTAAAAGTTACCCAATTCAGTTGACTTCAATTGCTTGTGCAGCATATATTTGCTGGTCTTATATAAAAATTTAACAATATATGGTCATATATTCATATTACTTTAATAAAGACTGCACCTTCACTGCATCTTTTCACACTGGCACAGCCTACTAAAGAAAAACAAACAAACTTTATTCTGGACCCGTAAAATAACACTTGCTTGAAAGTATGCTGAAAGATGACTTCATTCTACAACTCAAACAATAAAATTATCTTCATTAATAGAAACTTAAACAAACCTCCTTTTTTCTTTGCGAGGGGGATGACTTAGACTAAAATATACAGATCTTAATAACTAATATGTACATTAAAATAGTAAGAATGTAATGCTTCATGCTGAAAATGTAGCAAGGACAGACTACAATATTTCTACAGTTTTATATTAAACTTACAAATAAATCCTGTATACATACATTAATACAAATCAATTCAGTATATCCTTTTCAGCATCTCTGATCATTGACAGGTAAACTCACCACAAACTGTACCAGCACTTAAAATTAAAACCAATTCACTCAAACATTTTGGTGAGTCGAAATGTGACCATTCTACTGCTTTTACATGTACAGGTACTCCTTGACATATGTGAGGTGAAAATATCTGATCTTATTTTAATGTGCTCAACTGATTTAGAGTGGTATCAAGTAATTACACTTGCTTTAATACAGAATGCTTGCTGGCCAATCAAGAGTGGCAGGGAGAAAAGGGAGTAGAATACTTCGTGAGCAGTGAAGGAGAAATGTAAGGGGAGGAGGGAGAATAGACTATTGTTGGAGTGACAAGGGATGAGGGGAAAATTGGCCTAGTTGATTCTACTTACGCAGTTTTACCCACTGACAATTTTGTTTTGCAACAGGAGTATGGCATTCATTGAGGAGTACCTGTATGTTCCCCTACAGAACAAGAAATCTTTCATTTTATACACCAATAAAACATCCTATAAATTAAATTAAATTAAATATTAAACAAAATATTGGAGTACACAAGTGTATGACTCCATTAATCAAAAGAACAGAGAAAATAAACATCAAAAACATATTTATATGATTTATTTCCATTAAACGGTTCTTACCTTATAAAATATTTTATTTCGCTGCTTAGATAAAAAAATTGACAGAGCAAAGTCAAAATAATTTGTAGTTTCATTGTATAAAAGTAACTGTACCACATTTGTCACTGTGAGACAGGTAGTACACAGTGCTACGTTATACAATAATTCACTCAATTCTGTATAGGATAACAGTGGCTGAAGTGATAAATATAATATATTAGATATTTAAATATGAGCCAAAAAAAAAAGGAAAATGCTTTGTTAATTTCAACTGAACTGTATGATCCCCCTACTTGAAGGTGTCATGTAGCCTTTGTACTATAATAAGATACAAAGATAGTAGGCATTGCAAGAAATATAGAAACAGAAGTATCTCATGTAAGTTCACAATTTGTTTCAGTATAAATGTAATTTATAACTGAAATCATGGCATTTTTTATCATTAGAAGTGATAAAAATATGATGACATAACCAGAGGACTAATTCTATATCACTGAGTGTCCAACTAGTCATCTAAAATATTTCATAATGTAAATAGTGCTTAAATAATTGTTACTGCATTCTTTTATCACATAATTACAAGAAATTTTCCATATTCTTATTAATTAGTAAATTATATATATATATTCTACTGGCATCTTATGAAAATCAGCTTGCATGGTGGAAGTTACATGTATATTTATTAACAGATCTGAACAGACAAATATAGGCAAGTTCAAGCATTGAATTTCATTAATGATAAATACATTCATTGTGGATTCACATATATAATCCAAATCTACTGCAGTCCAGTACTTTTATTGTAGGTATTTAACTAATGAACAAATACTGTAGTATCAGAATTTTTAATATCAAAGTCCTAGTCAATTATATTTACCTTCAGTCCTCACATCCTAGCTCTGCAAAACACCTTAATATTATCCTCCCATCTCCTTTTCAGTCTTCCAAATGGATATTTTTACGAGATAATGGAAACTGACTGTGTAGGCACATTTGAACTCCTCAGAGTGGGATTAATTTTGATTTCACAAATATATTGACAAAATATGAATTTTGGTTGTATCACTAAATAAGGGCTGGAATTTTACTATCTTATTAAAACCTAAAAATATTTATGACAGAAATTGTGCAATAATGATGTAAACACTTCAGTTACATATGTCTTGTAGAGGAAAGAGCTATTTTTTAAATCAGATAAAAATCTTATTCTGCAAACAGAGTGCCTGATGAATGCTTTCCCAGCTATATTAGCATGGTACACCCTTTCATATGTACTATTTGACCACACAAGCTTTGACTATAAGAAGTATGTACACTACTTCAAGTTTTATTATTTGGGGTGTCAGTGTTAGCTTTTATTTTCTCTCCTTTGTATCCAATGTAAGGCCAACTAGAACAAGCAGCAGTGTTCTTCACCCATCCTCGACAGGTTTAAAGTGAATCATGTTGGATAGCATATGCTTATGCTACTAAGACACACCTGTTCCCCATTTTATATAAGTTTACTTCACATCACTGACAAAATAGCCTTTCTGTTGATCAATATTATTCACAAAAGTCAATTTAGCAAAAGAAAGGAAAATAACAAAATGAATCTGAATATAAAGGAAGAACAGCTCTAAGACAAGTGAAGAAAGTTAAAGAGAAAGTTGGGGTAGGTATACTGCAGATCTGGATGATGATTTATGTGGAAAAGAGAACAATGTACATTAAATTACTAAATATCTGGAAAAGAGAAACGATATTATAAATTTTAAAGTTACGCATACAGAAAAATGACATCAATATTATACTAGTCTATGGAATGATGAAAATAATGAAGAAACTTCAAATGAAAGAATTGATTAAATAGAATATTATGAATTAGAAAAAAATCTCCAAGGGGAAAAAATAAGAAGACAATCAGAATACATGTCATTAATATGGAACTTTCAAAATGTGCTTCAGATAAAATGAGGAAATGGTTCTTGGAACTGCATAATAAATTCAAGAAGATTAACAAGATCCAGTAGAACTGAACAAATGCAATAATAACATATATATTTAAGAAACATAATCAGCATAAATGTGAGAATTACAGAGCATAAATTAATTATGTATAACATAAGACATAACGGATTTCAGGTTCTCAGTGTTAACTGTGAAGAGTATGGTCTTCTGGGTTGCAACATCATGTAATCTGGAGACAGCCCGATAATTTAGAGGGACATTCTGCCTCCATCCTCTGAAATGTTGGGTTCTTTACAAACTATGTGGTGTTACAATCCAGAAGACAATACTCTTCATAGTTACCACCCTGAAAATAAAAAATCCAACATGGCCTCTATTTTGTTCAACTATGAAGCTGACTTGATGACAAAATGCCAAAGACAGACTAATTATACTTGCTGTCAATCAGCTCTGGGTGTTGTCAGTTGGCTTTTGCTGACTTAATTGCTGTTCTTCTCAGAATTAAGGAATGAGGTAATGAACTGGAATTGTCAGGGCCCAGACTGAGTCTGATTGTGTAGCCAATTCCAAGTTATAGTGTCAAAGACTGAATTGAGAAAGCTGATGAGGTGACATATGCATATAAGTAAGGAAGTCAAAGTTGGAATTGATGATAGCCATTGAAATTAGATTGTTGATCATAGTATTTATGAAAAATTCACAACTATTACTAATTACACTCAACATCATCAGTTTAATTCAGCTTGCTGTTAACCAATTAGTGAGGAGTTACTTCTTTCATTGCTTGTGAAGAAACTAAATAAATCTGTGCACTGTGTGTTAATTTGTCTAACTGCCCAAAATTAAAAATCTGTGATAGAATACCACAATATATACAATATATTAAAAAAATAATTACACTGAGACTTAATGTAATATCTAAAACAATAATTTTGGAAGAGCTCTTAGAAATTTGGAAGGGTAAAAAAATTACTATGAAAAGCTTTAAAATACCCATTAAACTCTTCAGTACCATTGAATTCAGTAAAGGCAACAGAAAATGTATATACAAATTCTAAACAAATTTATGGCAGTGCCAGTTTATGGAAATGAAACATGGACAATGAAGAAGACAGACCAAAATCAGGGACTGACAATCGTGAAAAAATTCTTGACATCTGTTGTTATGTTATTCACTACTGGAGAAGTAGGGATTGGGATGGGAATGTGTGTAAATGACTATTTCAGTTCAATATGGGAATTTGGAAAAAATTTGAGAATCAAAACAGGAAAAAGAATTTTCTCTACTAGGCCAGCTTTTTCACTAAAATCATAATTTATATAGCCAGTCACTCTTTCACAGTATACTAAAAAGTACTGCTTATCCATTTTGATATCAGTCATTATTCAATGAAGAATATTCATAAATCATTGTATTTAAATAATAAATTCTTGGGCTACATCCTTTTTCACCATGGGCAGAGAGGGAGAGAGAGATTTTGTTATGAAGGTGATTCATGTTGGTGTTGCCAACCATTGCTATTTTTGGTGCACTGGGTAGGTGGCATGCAAGTGTAAAGATTTTCTAAGTCTGAGACTGAAAAATCAATATGTGCATCTCAACTGAAATATGTTTTCCATGATTTGATCTTGAAAACTTGAGACTTGTACACATAGCATGAGAGGTGTGAGATAGAGCACAGGGCAATCACAAATGTGGGGCACCACCCCACTCTGAAATCCATATAAATATATTTAATAAATACTTTAAAAATTCAAAATTTCTATCAATTATTAAAATAGATTTTCAATTATATAACATAAACAATTTGCACTGTTTTACAATTTACACATTATTTACATTTATTTGACATAATTTGACAATGACTTCATTTTTTTTAAATTAAATAAGAGTATATTTGGGCCCCCTTACACCAGAGGTCTGGGCTAAATGGCCCATAACTGACTAAGTGTAGATATTAGGAAGAACGGGAAATTTTAATCTGTAATATTCAGTAATATAAAAATCAATGGATCTAACATACTGAAAGAATGGAGCAACACCATACGGATATACCATCACAGTCATGGAAATATTGTTATAGAGGAAGAAGATAAATTGTGAGACGAACAAAGAAATGATATGAATAAATTTTGGAGCCAGAACAGGTTTATTTTTTTATTGATGATGATTGTGAGTGTGCTAAACTAATTTTAAAAAACTCCACCATGCCTATCCTATCTTCAAGCATTACACCTACTTACTATTTCTGTTCATACTATTTGGTTCTCATATCTTCAACAGGATGTATAAGAACAGAGATGATATATGAGGAAGTTCCAGATTTTGAACATTTTTACCACAATGTATATCACTTATATATGGACATTCATAAACTGTGCTATTAAAAGTTAAATTTCAAGCTATTAAAAATCAAATTTCAGAATGATTACTGCAGCAGATTACAGTAGAGGTTCATATTTTCCTATCATGTTTTTGCTTAAGCATAATTTCTAACATGAAATTTATTTACTAATGGGTATGTGTTCTCAGGTCATGAGAATGTTCAGGAAAATCTAAGCATATATACATTAACTTACATTTTTACATTTCTGATGAACAAAATGTGGAGATCTACTTCATCTGTTAGATTAAAATATCTCAATTGCTGGAAAATATTAGTGTGAGTGATGCACATAATTCATCTGAATTATTACTGCAGCAAATATAACAAATAAACATGAAAGCCTAAAATTTGTCTTGCAGTAGCAAATACTCACTTCCCATTGTCAGGCAGCTGTTGAGTGGTGTAGTGTAGTAGAGATGGAAACTTCACATTTTTACATGGTTCTGTGATGAAGATCATTTCTGTAGAAGCCACATATATAACAGAATATCAAAGAAAATTTACTGTGTCAAGTTGGATTTCGTTTAATCTTGTGTTGCAGCTTTAAAATTACTAAGACAAAAGAGATCTACAAAATTTAGTGTTTGTTTTTAAATTCTGGTACATAAAAAGACTGAGAACTAAACTGAAGAAGACAATCTGACATTCCATCTGTCTATCTGTCTGTCTGTGTGCCTGTATGTATGCACGAGCACACACACACACGTGCATACATATGTATGTATGTATCTATGGATGCATGCCTTGCTGTTATCCACATGGTTGGACAGCTTCTATCCCCATTTAGTGTTCAGGAGTTATTAAGTGCTAGTCGGTACCTGGTGAATATGAACATTCTAGCTGCAAAAATAGGAGCCCTTTAGATGGGCACCATGAAAAAGATACTTCTTTTAACGGATCAAATGATTATGATTAAATTTCAGTGCTTTGTGAAGACCAGTTCCTTGAATAAAACTGCATACGTTGTATGTTCAGGAAAGTAATGGTATGTGCAGTAGAGGCCAAATATTAAATGTCAATTTTCATGAAAATGATATGACCAGTATTGATCGAATTTTAATCACGAATACAAGCAATGGACCCAAATAGTACGGTTGCAATTCTTGTGCATTATTTAAAAGTTACAATTTTTCCAAAATATTTTTTTTCATGTGGTTGGCTATGATCCCTCAGGATATATGAAGTAATTAAACAACTCTTACGCAGCATGTACATGTCCTAGCTAGTTAATCACCAACCATCACCAACCAATTTCTTTCCAAGGTAACATAGCCAAAGTCCATTTTATATGAGAAAGTCTGTGTATTTTCTTTGCACAAACTTTTTACATATAGAAAGTCACATTAAACTCACCACGAATTTCAAGGATGAAAAAAGTTATATCAGAATTAACAAAGGAAAATGATAAATTGTCATCAGTTAACAACTACATAAATGCCCTGATTATGTCCTTACCATTGAAGAAGGCATCTCTGTTAGAAACAGTTACAAAACGACCCACCAGCAGCAGTGAGAGAAGTACCTTTGGGTCAATGATTGACTTTCTGAACGTTATCCATCAGTCTGTTTTTAGTCAAAACAACAATTTGGACTCTTGAATCTGCCTCCATCCTCGTGTAAAAATGACTCACTTGGGCCCAACCAGTAGAGCTAGTCAGTATTTCCAGACTAGCTATATCAGTTGGCCCCAGCTGAGTAGGCTACTTACCTGAGGACAGAGGCAGAGTCCAGTCTGTGAAACGTTTTAAATAAAAATAAGACAACAGTCAATGTTCAGAAAGTCAGTATTCAATAACTGTGTTAATATGCCATCATTACAAATTTCTATAACTTATTTACCTATGCTTCAGTTAGCATGGCAGTCTTAAGCTTTACCAAAAATAAAATCCATTTAAATTTTATAAGTGTGGATTAACGTTGGGGTTATGTGCAGAAAATGTAGGTAGATATTGGAACTGTTTATTTTAAAGGTCCAGCCTATTTGTTTCTTTCAGATCAGTTAGAAAAAATGTGGCTACATATTAATATAAGAGAAAGTTACAAAATATTCATTGTAAAATGGCAACTGTTTTGGTAATGTTGATATAATAGCTATTAGTGAAATTTGCAAAAACCGTCTGTCTGTGCCTATTTTGTATCTCACTCACTACCGACTGCTGTAGTTGCTTAAATTGTGGAAGAAAGAAACGTATCTGTTGTTTAGTGGTGAACGAGATACTCGTCATTGTGATGCTCTGTTACCAGTTGAAGAGACACCTTGACAAAGTTTGTTTTTGGTAATCAATCTTTGCCAAAAATATTTATCTAGATAAGTAGCTTACTGTTATTCTATCAAGTTTAATATCTTAGAATAAATGTGGCTGTCTTCCGCACAACTTTTCAATTGAATAAGGTCAGGAATTTTGTTTTTAACATTTCCCCATTGAAATTTCAATGGACACTGTATTGGGACAAAAAAAAATCTGAATACCTAAGAGTAGTGAATGCTGTGGGAGGTTCTAATTCAATGTAATTTTCATGAAAAAAATTTCAGCCACATTAATTTAGTTTCACCACAGATACACTAGTCTGAATTTTATTCCATTTGAAAAGAACCACATTTGGAGTGGTGTTTATGGGTTCTAATTCCCTGCAATGTCTCAAGTTACATAAATAAAGATTATTTCCTCATAAAATTTAGAAATAGAGGAAAGATTTTGTGAAGAAGGAACTGTCATTTATGTCAGCAGCATAGTTGATATATTAATCAGTAGAATAAAATGTACCTGTGATTATGCTGTTTGAAATCAGAGACGCATTTATACCAGCAAGTCATATTTACTGAATATAGAACAAAGAAAACAGCTGATATGGAACATGTATCTTGGAAAGCAAAATTATATTCTTTGTATATTAAGATGATAAAAATAAGACACAAGCATATGATTTTACCTGTACTGCAGCAAGAGAAAGCAGCAAAATGTTGGTCTTGGTGCTAACTTCTGAACATCACAAGATGTGTGGCAAACAGAGCCAGTGTTCTAGAAATGTTCAGTTGCTTTAGTCCCTTGTTATTGTATGAGGGCAGATATGGTGACCTCCAAAACTATTTTGTCCACAATTGGAAGAAAACTTTTATGATGGCCTGAATGATATGTGATGTGCATAAACTTTATACCATATTTTGTAACTGATTTTACATTGCTGGCACCATAGTAGCTACAGGAATACTTCAATGCTCTTTAATATATGTATTATTCTCTCAATAATTTTCATGGGAGGAAGCATTTAGCATTTAGCTGTTATAACTTATTTCCATATTGAAATTAAGATTCTGTCCTTAAGAATAATTTGCATCAACTAACTATATTCGCCAATCTTGTATTATGATTTTCATACTCATATTCCCTAATGTGTTAGGAGCAATAGAACTGACATTCTACAACCCAATTATCAGATCTGATGTAGAAAAAAGATTCACTTCCATGTCAGGCATTTCTGTTTCCACTCAAAACATGTCTTCCTACCTGGACATCACACACATACTCAGCACCTACATCTGAAATTTTTCAGATGTTACATGATAAGCAAGATATCAGTTTCTGTCCATGAAGTATTACCTTCATGCCAAAACCCATGCTTCTGTGTCTTGCAGTTTTATGACAAACACCACTTGTGTTCTTGGAAGTACATGTACAACATGTATTCTGATTCTAGTTGTCCATTAAATTACACACGTAGTTGTTACTGCTCAAAGCAACAATAAGTACAAATAAGAGAAACGACCACATATTGACATCACATAACTATGCACAGTACATCATATTTTGTCTGCATTTCAATACTGAGTGTGTACCAAGCCTGCTGTTAAGTACGGACGCTACAGTATTGTGTGGGGCTAAGTACACAGCACAGGAGGCAGGCCAGGGAGAGCCTTGGTTTTGCTACAAGGAAATTTAAACTCTCATGAATACCTGTCAATGCTGGGCTCATCATCCAACACCGTATTGGCCACAGTAGGTTTTGCACCTGTCAAGACAGAAAAACAAACAGTTTACTGTATTTATTTCTTTAAAAATATTGAAATTAAAGACAACTTAAAGAGCACTCGAATATTAACCACAATGAGCAAAACAAATGTGAAATTTTACCATCATAAAAAATTTTGTAGAAAGTTAGTTACATAATTTAGTTACATAATTATTCATCTTATGTGTCATAATTAAAACTTGTGTGTGGTTCTTCCACTATGGGGGGCGTTTTTCTTATATTCTGTGTAAACACTCGCAGCTAAGAAGGGAACACACATCACAAGACACGGTTTACACAGAATATAAGAAAAACGACCCCCATAGTGGAAGAACCACATAAAGTTTTAATTATGACACATAAGATGAATAATCTTAACAAGTTTTAGTGTGTGTAAATTCATTATAGTTGACAAATACGCGCTTTTTAAATACTTTTTAAATAATTTTATAAAGGCAAGCAATGAAATAGATTAGCATAATTAGGGCACCTGATGATGGCCCTATGTTGCCGAAACATGTCGTGAAGTAACAGGTGAAATTGAGTGCATTACAAGACGCCAACTGTATACATATATCATGGATGAAAATCAGTGCAACAGGACGCTAAAATACAACATTATGAAAACGGCAACCTATAAATAGCTTTTGAAACAGATATTTGTAGAAAAATTAGTACTCATAAAGTCAGATGAGTAAAAGTAAATGGCAAAGTTCTCCCTCTGCTCAATTAGTTGAGCTCTATATAATCAAGATATTTGGGGAGTGGAGCTACATCATATATCTCCACCTTTCTTGATCTTGGCATTAGAGGGAGGTGAATGGTCAGCTTCATGTCCTGGCCGCTTTACTCCAGAGGAAAAGCCCCTCAGATGGGTAAAGGTATAAAAAGTAAACTGTCCCTGCACAGTGACAGCCATGAATATGGAGGGCAAGTGGAGCTATTTGTCACTTATGTATAAATATGAATTGACATTTTTAATCACTGAAATTTGTTCAGTGATTTAATTTCAATAAACTAATTAAAAGAAATTTTGCATCCATATGAAGATTAACAGTTTCCTTCCATAGGCACACAATTTAAAATCAGCACAGAGCCATAGAATAGCAACTCTGATAGTCTAGTCCAGGGCTGTCCATCTTCAATCCACTCAGGAACTACACGGTACATAATAAAATATATATCCTTTCCAGTTTACCAGCACAGATGCCTCCCTTGCAATGATCACATTTACGAAGCACAAGCACGAATAGGACTCATAAAGTTCCAAGGAATTTCTTTAAATCAGATGTTGCTATGTTGCTAAAAGTTTGATAGATTTTATTGATACTGTATATGATCTTTGAGTTATATTAGACCCATACTTTTTCTAAGTTAGTTACTAGTAATTGCGTAAATTTAATTAATTAATACGCATTACATAGCATAATGAGTAAGCATTCAGAAGTCTGTCAGATTCTCCAGTGTTTTACAATTGGAGGGATGCCTTAATACAAATTCTGGGAAATGGTAGGACGCTCTTGTAAGTTTTTTTTTTTTTTTATCTGCAAAGTTCTCTTTTCTTCGTTGCCCAGAATGTTTCTGGGTAACGTCCACTCTCATATATAATGAGCGATAGAGGATTAAAATAATCACATCACAGATATAAAGAGAGAAATTTGCTTCATTTTTGCATCATTTTCAGAGATGTACATACCTCCCAGGTCGCAGCTGCCGGAGAATTTCGTCTCAATGACGAAACCCGTGGCACACGCGTCTTTGAGCATGTGGCACCAGGAGTGGTACGTGCGATTATTTGTGCCGCAGATGGGGCCCCCCATGTCACGCCGCATCCCCGATGGGCTGCGTGGCCGTGGACAACGATAGCTACACGTCACACAGCGCGGGGTACCTGTGTTCATTTCAGTGAGGCAAGACTGCCGCTCCCTGCATCGCACACTGCCACATGACGCCATTTCTGTGATAAAAGGTCATATAACATCTTAATTAATAACCAACTAATCGGAGTGCCACAACATTTAATTCAAAGGCCCAATGAAAAACGATTAAAATTGCTTGGTGTGATACATAATTTGATATTCATGAAACTTTACATCAGTTTCATCATTATTCACAGTAATGCAGATCACTGTGTAATAAATATACAATGGATGTTCAACATTTCCAGGGTCCCTGTATGAGTGAGAACTAAATTCCTTTTCTGTGGGATATGAGGTTCTCACAGCGGTGGTTATGCAGTGTTCTATCTTCTGGGATCAAATGCCGCATAGTCCGCTGAAAGTCAATCGAAGTTTCGGAGGAGTATGTCGCCTCCATATTCAAGCTCGAAGAATCAACCGAGAGGAACCACGATGCAATAAGTACAGCTCTGTTTTCTACCTCTTTCATGTTGGAGTCTTGCTTCACAACTTAGCTATGCGAGCGACGAAGCCAAACGGCTGTAGTTTTGGTATCTGTCTCCATATGGATGTAGGGAGACAGTGAACGAAAGTTCTTGTGCATTATGTCGGGATTGTAAATCTCAAAGGAATAACTGCCAGCACGCAACTGACCTTTGATTTAGAATACGTCATTAGGAAGGTCGAAGGAGACCAGGCAGGAGTGAAGTTGAATGGGGCACATCAGCTTCTGCTCTATGCTGATGATATAAATCTATTGGAGCACAAATATCATAAAGAAAACCCCGAAGCTTTAACTGACTCTAGCAATATTTTTAGTCTAGAAGTAACCACAAAGAAAAATAAGTTGATGTATTCTTTTCTCATTGGCACTACAGCCCTCATTTGGGCCTAGGCCTACCTCCATGAACTCCGTTCACTTCGATTTTACTAAATCTCAGACATACGGTAGGGCTCCTTGGGCGGGTGATCAGCTCGTCGCAAAGCCTCTACCTGTACACAAACACAGAAAAACGCACACAAACATCCATGCCCTGAGTGGGATTCGAACCCACGTTCCCGGCTTTCGAGCGAGCGAAGAGACTGCTCGGCTACCGTGACCGGCAAGTTCATGTATATTCACCAGAATACAAGGCAAAATCATAACATATAGACAACTAACAGATCCTTTGAAATTATCATCATCATCATCATCATTATTTGGATGTTGTGTTAGCACATAAACAAGTAAGAATTAAGTGAGTTATTGTTATTATTACCAACTTCTGTGTAGGTACACGTATTGTTCTTTCTCGCCACATAATGGCATAACCATTGAGAATTTATTTATTTTATTTTCCCCGCCTGTCAATGTTAACTTTATTTTTCTTAGTTATTATTAATTTATTGCCCTTATATAGACTGTCATATTTTGTGTTCTGTTCTTTAATTATTTTTCTGTATTTCTTTGCACTCGTGCTAACTTTGTAACTGGCCTCTGTGTTCTTAAGTTTGCACGTAAATAAACACGAATTCAATTGAATTATTATTATTATTATTATTATGGTTCTACAGCCCTTTGTTAGGCCTTGGCCCCTTTTCAGTTTCTTGATCTTATATACAGATGGTAGGAATCCTAGGATGGGGGATCAGCCCGTCGCAAAGCCTCTACCTACACACAGAACAACACAAACACAGATATCCATGCCTTGAGTGGGATTCGAACCCACGATTCCAGCGATCGAGCGAGTGAAGACAGTTCATGCCTTAGACCGCGGGGCCATTGTGATCGTGGCAGTAAAATACGAAGAAAGCGACACTCCTGAAGGCGGTGCAGTTTGACTCCATAGACAATAGGCCATTTAGTGAGCAAGATGGCTCCAGCCGTACGGCTTCTCGCTTGTCCGAATCTCGACCTGTACACGTACTAACCTCAGGTTTTCCGTGGCGTCCTCCCTCCCAGGCAAATGAAAGGATAATACCTTAAACTACGACACGATCGCTTCCTACCAGGGCAACAAAGTCAAGGGGTGTGGAACCGTCCGACCTTCATCAGGACTGAGGTTAATCGTCGCGATACTTCAGATTGGATACAGTCGTCTTACACATTGTCATTTGCTATGAGATGACCCGGCACCTGTTTTGTCAGCAGTGTGGGTAGCGGGACAGTTTAGGATATTATGACAAGACGGAAGGTCGCGGGTTCAAGTCCCGATGAGGTCATTGGATTTTTTCAGTTGAACTAATCCTTCCAGCCGCACTATGGCCCTGGGGTTCACTCAGCCTCTAACAGAAATGAGTACCAGGAATTAATTAAATAATTTTCCTGGGGAGAAAAGCGCGGCCGGCGCGTAAGGCTGACACCCTTACCGTCATCTTCGAACCGACTGTCTAGGAACTGTGGGACCCTCAACATCTCATAACCCTATGGGCCTTCACGGCTTGGTACAGGGATAGCTTTACTTTTTTTACTTTTATGGTCGTAACATATCTAACGTTGGCCTTCCTTCGCTGTATTCGCTGTATACAGGTGGTTCGGTCTCTTTAACGGACACTTTTTTATTCATCCGCTGCAGTCAATTTACTGTTATTGCTATTTTAAGCACTCATCGGCCCATACACAGCTTCTTTGTTATTTTCAACTCCAAGTTCTTCTGTTTTAGGTTGAGACAACTTTCTTGGAATCGTCTTACAGTCTCCTCTTTGGGCATATTTTATTCATTGCTTTAAAAGCTCTCGCTGGCCCTTATACAAGCTATTTTGAAGAATTTAACTGATATTTATCTGTTTCATTTTCTTCCTTACACGCTTTAGTCAGACCATTTTACTGTCACGTGTAGGGGGTTACGCGTGACGAAAACAACGGGTTCTACTACCACAGTCAATAATTTCGTGGACTGGCCGCAAAGCGTCGTTGTAGTGCACTACAGCGAATAGGTTCAGGCATGATATGATGCCATGTTGGTTCATCTCTTGTCACAGCAAGAGGCAGTTTTGTGCAAACCGTGTAAGCAGAACTACTGCCTCTATTGTGAACTGCAGTTACATGCGAGTGGCGGAAATTGAAAATGTGACAGTTTGAAGAACGGGCAAACATCAAGTTCTGCCAAAAACTAGGCAAATCCTCTAGCGAAACATTTGGAATAGGAAGAATTGGCTGTTGCTATACGACAACGCCCCTGCACATCGCTCTGTTCTTGTCCAAGAGAAACTGGCAAGGCAACAGGTCACCGTTTTGCCATACCCTCCGTATTCACCTGATCTCGCACAATGCGATTTCTTTCTTTCATTGCTTGAAAGTAAAGCTTCGTGGTCGTATATTTCAGTCATCCGAGGAGGTTGTCAATGCCACAAGAGATGCCGTACGGGAATTTCCCGCCAATATGTTTCAGCAATGTTTTCGGCAGCTATATCAGCGTTGGCAGACTTGCATAGCGGCCAACGACAACTATTATGAGGGTCGATGTGAATATGTTTAAGTTATGTGAATACCTTGTAATATGATGCGATAAAACCACAGTCCACGAAATTAATGACTTGTTATTGACACTTCGGTTACGAGTTCTCTTAATCACAATCAGTTATAATGCTATCGCTATTCTACACACTTTCAGTTCACCGTTGCCTACGCACTAGGATTCTCCATCTTCACTAGCTCTTTCCTGCTAACGGATCTCAACACAAAAACTAACATTTCAAATCACTATGAAGTCTTGTTATTTCGTTTTCAGCCATTCTGTACTCCTCTGCCTTGATGTATAATAAACTAATCTTCACAATTCACCGAAGACATGCTCCATTCTCTACCTTGTACTCTCAACTGCGTTGTAGCGCCAGATGTCTTCAAGATAACTCCTCGGCATGGATCACG